GCTCAGAAGCACAGAAGGTGGCTTGGAAAAGAAACAGAGCTGCAGAAATTAGCACAAACTTTGAGCTCCGTGCAGGCATTTTTAAAGGCACAAACCTCGTCCTCCTTGATGGATTTCATGCGGAATTTGCAACCAGACTGACAACCTCCAGGGATTTAAAGCTGCTGCCAGCCATTTCCCCCCTCCTTGGCTGATGAAAAACCACGAAGTCTCTCCCTTGCTTTCGCTGCATACCAGCAAACCCACATCATAACTGGAGGCATCGCGGAAGGTTTTTTTTGTTTTTTGTTGTTGTTCCTTGTCAGACTTGATAAAAATCCAAGTCGCTGGATCTGATATCGTTACTTTCCCTGTGATGATCATCGCGGCGATAAAAGCAGGGGGAATCCCCGAGAGGGAGTTGGAATTCTTCCGTCTTCCTTTGGGGAGCCACACAAAAATACCTGGCAAGAGCAGAATGCAGAATTGCAGGCAGTGTGAGAAACAGCCACAAAGAGCGACTAAGGCTGCAATCCTGTGCATGCTTACCTGTGTGTAAGCCTCACTGGGGCTTGCTTCTGATTAGACATATATAGACTTCTGCTGTAACACATTTTCCACGCCAGTCTTACATTTTGAAATATCATTTAACGAAATTGACTGTTAAGCAAGGGACGCGGGTGGCGCTGTGGGTTAAATCACAGAGCCTAGGACTTGCCAATCAGAAGGTTGGCAGTTCGAATCCCTGCGACGGGGTGAGCTCCTGTTGCTCGGTCCCTGCTTCTGCCAACCTAGCAGCTCGAAAGCACTTCAAAGTGCAAGTAGATAAATAGGTACCGCTCTGGCGGGAAGGTAAATGGTGTTTCCGTGTGCTGTTCTGGTTCTGCCAGGAGCGGCTTAGTCATGTTGGCCACATGACCCGGAAGCCTTATGCCGGCTCCCTCGGCCAATAAAGCAAGATGAGTGCTGCAACCCCAGAGTCGGCCACAACTGGACCTAATGGTCAGGGGTCCCTTTACCTTTACTGTTAAGCATACACTGCCATGGGCATGCCCAAGCTAAGCGAAGGCCAAAGAGATTTCAACAGGAAGGTTAAGGGTGTCCGTAAATCTGTCCCTCTGAAATCAAAGCAGCTTTGTCAGGATTGGACCCTATTCTACTAGCCTTTGTTGAAGTGTTGTCCTGAATGATCATGTCAGGTCCCTCCAAATCAGGGGTGGAGAAGCTTTTTCAGGGCCACATTGCCTCTAGGCAAGCTCAGGGAGGCCATATGCCAAGGGTGAATGGGGCCAGAGGCAAATGTGGATGGGGCAAAAAATGTAAACTGGACTTTTGTACAGTAGAGTAACAGAGAGAGAGAGAGAGAGAGAGAGAGAGAGAGAGAGAGAGAGAGAGACTCTCACTCCTTGTATCCAGGCAAGCTGGAAGATGCCATTTGCAGCAACTGCAACACAAAATCTTGGTGAGGATGAGGAACTTACTGCTAGTAGCGAGTTGCGCCCCTGATAAACTGTTCGGAGAATTTCACCACCTCCTGAAGAAATTCAGCGCAATGCCACTCTCCACCCCTTATCTGTGCCCACAAGTACTACCTGAACCATTATTATTTTTTCAATGAAATTGTGTCACTCCAGCATTCAGTGGCCAGGAATCAATTAGTTGCAAGAGGGAGATTTTAGACTTTTTTTTATTGCATTTGAACCCTTTGTGAATATTTCCACACAACCCCAAACTTGGAAGGATGGGGCAGATGCTAGATGTTAAACAAATAAAAGTATGTTTGGAGGACTGTGTAGAACCGTGAGAAGAATTCGCAGCGAATCCAAGGAGGAATGGTCTGCTCAAGGATGACAATATTACTGTGATTCTGTCAGGAATAACTCAAAAGGGTTTCCATCTTTGCAGCATCCCCTGTTGTTGTTTCGTTAGCTGGACATGCGACAAGCTTGCTTGCTATTGTAGCTGTCAGGCTTGAGAGATGACTCAGTAGATGGGATCCTCTCTCTTTTTTTCTTAAAAGATTGACTGGGGATCAAAGCTGCCAACATTGATCTGGCAGCCGGGATACCGTTGTTCATAGAGGGCAGCTAACCACACCTGCCATTTGTTTCTAAGGAATGGCTTTAATTCCGTGCCAGCCAGATTGTGTGCCATGCCCACCTCATGTCAAAGTCAGTTTGTAGATGTCATTTTGCAGGCTGGACGGCTATTTTTTGTTCACCTGCCGAGTTGCTGTGTCCGTCTTGCTGACATGCCTGTGAGTGCTGGCTTCCCAGCTCCTCGGAATCTCATGTTCTCATGTAATGCACAAAAACATGTTTCAAGAAAGCGCAAGGCATGTTTCTCCAGAAGTGATACATCAGGGCCCCAAAGTGAAAAATGCCAACCATGAGATGCTTCCATCCTAAGTGAGGCCAAGATTATGCTAGCAGATTTATCTTCCTTTGCATTCTTCCATGTGCACAGTTGGTGCTAACGCAGGAGTTAGCGAGTAGCAGCCCCCTCTGCCAAATCATGCCACAAACCAGAACCAAAAGAGGAAGCGGCAATAGTAACAATAGGACTTGAGAACAGACCACCAGGTGGAAAGGTTGGAGATGTAGTAGGGATAATGCTTCTTTAAAACACATGTTTTTACAATGCCTTACACTTATTATGTCTTAGGAGAAAGCAGTGGATTATATAACTGTGGGAGGGGGAGTTAAAGTTTCCAGAAGAAAATATTATTTAGAACTACATACCTACTTTATGGAATTTGACAACGGGACAAAGTAAATGGATTCCTTCATATGGCCAAAAACTGATACCGATGCACTGGAAAGGTAAGTGTACGGCTCCATTTTATCAATGAATTGAAGATACAACTACACTTGCAACTGATGAACGGATTGCTTATAGATGCAGACTTTGCACGGCCAAGCATAATGACATCTGGGACACATTTATTCAAAATATAGTAGGTTAAAAAATAAACATATATGTATTTGGATAATGGGACGCAGGTGGCGCTGTGGGTTAAAGCCTCAGCACCTAGGACTTGCCAATCGAAAGGTCGGCGGTTCGAATCCCTGCGGCGGGGTGCGCTCCTGTCGTTCGGTCCCAGCGCCTGCCAACCTAGCAGTTCGAAAGCACCTTCGGGTGCAAGTAGATAAATAGGGACCGCTTACTAGCGGGAAGGTAAACGGTGTTCCGTGTGCTGCGCTGGCTCGCCAGAGCAGCGATGTCACGCTGGCCACGTGACCCGGAAGTGTCTGCAGACAGCACTGGCTCCCGGCCTATAGAGTGAGATGAGCGCACAACCCAACAGTCTGGCAAGACTGGCACGTACAGGCAGGGGTACCTTTACCTTTATTATTTGGATAATAATAATACCTGTACATTAGATAAGCATATATGGAATTGCAACTAACTCTTATAATGATATAGTATACCGTTTCTCTTTTTTTCTCCCCATTTGGATTTTATTTTGTACAATTAAAACCGTTCTTTAAAAAATTAATGAAAAACAGTAATAAAATCATAGGGCAAATCTTGGTTACTGCTTGTCACGAGTTTGAAGAGCACAGGTTCCTACAGCAAACTATGCTAAACTATGGCTTGAGCTCACTGCAGCGCAGCTGCAAAACATCCAAGGATGAATGAAGCATCTGCAAGCCATGATTTGGCTTAGCATGATGTGCTAACCAGGTCATTATATCATGGGAGCACAGAAAAAAGCATAGAATGTTACACTAGATGCACCATTTACCGTCTGGGTTTTGTAAACAACCTTCTCAGTCTTATGACTGCAAAGACATACTTGGAAATGGTTGGCAATGCTTGCTAAAATCTCAGGTCAGAGTTGGAGCTGAATGAAAATCCCACTGCTTTGAGAGAGGAGATCAATTCCCTGCAATGCTCAAAGAAACAAACAAATTAGAACAGTTTACCTGTGAAAAGTGTGCATTAAGCCTGGGAAAGAGGCGATTGAGGTAGGATTGTTGTTGTTGTTTAGTCGTTTAAGTCATATCTGACTCTTCGTGACCCCATGGACCAGAGCACGCCAGGCACTCCTGTCTTCCACTGCCTCCCGCAGTTTGGTCAAACTCATGCTGGTAGCTTCGAGGACACTATTCCAACCATCTTGTCCTCTGTCGTCTCCTTCTCCTTGTGCCCCATCTTTCCCAACACCAGGGTCTTTTCCAGGGAGTCTTCTCTTCTCATGAGGTGGCCAAAGTATTGGAGTCTCAGCTTCAGGATCTCTCCTTCCAGTGAGCACTCAGGGCTGATTTCCTTCAGAATGGAGAGGTTTGATCTTCTTGCAGTCCATGGGACTCTCAAGAGTCTCCTCCAGCACCATAATTCAAAAGCATCAATTCTTCAGCGATCAGCCTTCTTTATGGTCCAGCTCTCACTTCCATACATCACTACTGGGGAAACCATAGCTTTAACTATACGGACCTTTGTTGGCAAGGTGACATCTCTGCTAGGAGATGATGTCTCTGATAGGATAGCCATCTTCAAATATCTCAAGGGCCAACATATTAAAGGGGGAACAAGCTTGTTTTCTCCTGCTCTGGAGGGTAGGACTCAAGCCAATGGCTTCAAGTAACAAGGAAGGAGATTCCGACTAAACATCAGGAAGAACTTTCTGACAGTAAGAGCTGTTTGACCATGGAACCGTCTTCCTTGGGAGACTGTGGACTCTGCTCTCTTGGAGGTCTATAAGCAGAGGTTGGATGGCCATCTGTCATGGATGCTTTAGCTGAGATTCCTGCATTGCGGGAGATTGGAGTAGATGACCCTTGGGGTCCCTTCCAATTCTACAATTCTATTATTCTATGGTTCCATGTCCAGCTTTAAAGGCTCCCCACTTCCCTAACTTCTGGAAAGCTGTGAAATATGTTCAGAACAAACAAATGTTGCAGAGCAACGGTTTGCTTCCAAACCGCCTTGGTATAACCTAACACTTTGATTCTCAAATGTAGCTTTTAGCTAAATGTAATCCAAATGAACAATCAAGCCAAAAACAAGACCCAATATGTATTTCTGAGTTCAGTAATTTTTATTTTATATTACACCGTGGGGCACTTTATGGCAACGTGTTTACCAAATACTTTGTACCAACATTAGCAAAAACGGTCAATTTAAAGTGCATATAGAGGAGCTACTGACAGGAGTTTGAGTTCCACAGTCTTTAGACTCTAGGGCAGTAGTCCCAACACTTTCAGGCCCAGGACCCATCCCTAATCCCAACCTAAAATGAGGGACTGGCTTTTAATCCCCTGCAACTGCTATATGTTCATAGGAATGCAAGAAGCTTCCCCAAGCTGAATTAGGCCGTTGATTCCACTAGTTCAGTAGACTGACTGGCAGTGTGTTCTCCTGGGTTCCAAGAAAGGAGCCTTGCCAACCATCCCTAGAGATGGTCCTACCTTTGAGCCAGGGTCCTCCCCTCCCCATCTTCTCTCCATTCGTCTCCTTGAAGTGCAAGGAGGATACGACTCCTGTGCAAAAGAGATGTTGGCAGATGCAGCTGGTCAAGCAAGGGAAAGGAGAACTGAGAAGCTGCATGTGCTGAATTTCTCCTCTTCACAGCTTCATTAATGTTCAAGGAGCTTCATACTCCTTTACATGGTCTCCTTCTCTCTCTCAAATTACTGTTTTAAATGGTGCTGGCATGACACTGCTTTCATAAGCATATGTCCCACCTGTGGGTCCTCGTGCCTTCAGCTGAAACTGGTGCTCTAGAGGAAAATCTCCTGTTATCTAAGCTAAGGTGTGCAACACTACAGATCGAAGCCCTAATTGGTTTGTTTTTTTTAAAAAAGGAACAACCCTTGTTGGCTTTATTTGTAACACAGTTTCGATTCATTTACATAGCTTTGCATTGTCAGAAGAGATCAAGAAATGCGTTTCCATGCAAACGATTATTTATCCCACAATGCCTGTATCAAATGATTTCTTCAAAACTGGGTAAAAGGCAGCTATGAAACTGTTTAAAGATAAGGCCCGTTACAAAGGTAGGTTCTTCTGTTCACAAAAAGAGACATTTCCCCCTCTCTTCTCTGAAACATAAATTGAAATATGCTAGATTTTCACTACCTCCATGAAATAGCTTCATGGGTAGCATGGGTATGTACAGAAAAAGAAATTTACCACAAACCTTGTTTGTAAGTTGCGTCTAGAGCTAGATAAATTACACAGTGCTTCAGTTAACTCATTCAAGTAAGTTAATTTAAAATAGCTCCTGATAAAACGCTTGGCCATGAGAAGAAAATGTACATCAAATACATGGATTAACATCATTAACAAACAATTTAAAAGATACTTGCAACATCTATTGATCTGAGCAATCATTTATATCAATTAAGGATGCCACATGCTGGATTATGAAGCTGCAAATGTCTACCATAAGTTGCCACCTACCATCCATCGTATGGAACAAACATTATTTTGCTTGCTCAAAGGACAGAGGAAGTAAGCAGCAGAATTTCCAGGTGAATTAAACACAAAAACTACCCTGCTGTGTACTTACAAAGTACTGTGTGGAATATAGACGCCATTAGCTGTGAGTTTGTTGTCTACTATGCAATTGGCAACACTTCTGTTTATCATTATAGCACAACAATGTGGCGTCCCTAGTTATCTTCAGTCAACAGAAATACCATTTGTCTACTGACAATGTACAGTACTTTCATCCACAAGACAACTGTAATTAAATGCTACATGTAACTCTACACGATCCTGAAACAAAGCAAAGCAAAACGAACACCCCAGAAAAATTAATCTCAAAGATCTACTGGGAAAGCAGATGTTTTTAGTTGTCAAAATAAATTCTTTTAAAAACACATATACACACAATAAAAGCAAGCAAAGATATTGCACAAAATCCATCTTTTGTTGTGATCTAGTACTTTCCCTCACATCCCGGAATCTCCCTTGCAGTGCAATTCAATACAGATCTACTCTGAAGTTAAGTACCATTGAGTTCAATGAGACTTATTTCCAGGTAGATGTGTATAGGATTGCAGCCGTTATCATGATATCTGGGACTGGCGAAGGGGAGAGAAGGTTCACCAAGAATCTCGATTTCTTTTCTTGTCCCTTTCCTCCTCAACCCACCCATATTAATACTGATCCTAGAATCTAAATTAAAAAGCTTATTAATATACATACAATATTATTTATGTCTGATGTTAGGGAAGAACTCAGAAGTGTACTGAATCCATCCAAACTACTCTATAAACACCTTTTCGTCAAAGAAGATTTGTGTTGGGGGGGGAGATGGGTCTGGTGTCCACAAACTCTTTTAGTGGGATTTACCTGACGCACCCCATCAGAGGAAGCCCTGTGAAAGGATGCCCATCTGCACAAGAGGGCTCTCCCAAAATTGGCGGGGCGAAGGGGCCAGGAGAACCCCCAGTACAGTGTATCCGAGGAGAGAGGCGATTGCTGTGTGTGAAAAGTTGGTGGGACATAATGCAACAATGAGTTCCTTTTTTTAATGCTTAGCACTCAAGACAACTTCATAATGGAGGATTCCTTGTTTGGCTCCCATATATCAAGGCAGCCTTTGGGTGCCACCGAGAATGGCAAGGAGGAGAAAGGCAGATCTGACTAAAGGGGGCCCAAGACACAAGTCTCCCTACACAAACACAACTGAAACACATGGGATCTACATAACAGCACACCACACAACTCTACTCTGACCCATTTTAATGTGAGAGACACCATTTGGATTTTCCACTACAGGTGGCAAACATCTTACACTTGTCTAAGATCCAATGCATCTCATAAGTCATAACGTCCAGAATGGCACACAGAGTATTGTGGTGTCCTTGAAGTGGAAACAGAACCAGTCCTAACTGCCTGGAAGCTATTAAAGCAGCCCCTAGGCAAGTTAAACTGAAAGGAAACAGGGTCCCTAAGCACCCTTTTCCTGCCTCGGATCTGGGGAAAAATATATATAAATAAATCTAGGGTGGTTTGCTGCCTTCTGTAAGATTAAGGAGTTTGGTTTATGAGTGATGTCAATGGTCTTCAGAGCTAAAATCAGCAGAGCTTGCAGTGATCCTGCGACTAGGCATGTTGGAGAATTCCAATGGAAATGGAAATGGCCATTTTTGTTGATTTTTCCCATGTCCAGAATAGAAATCTATCCAGTGAAATTAAGTATTCACTGTTGATGTTGCTCTCAATCCACAAACAGTTCCACCCCCACCTCCCATTTCTATTACATTTCCTTTGCACTGAAATTAATGGGATGGAATAATGCTACAACAACTTAATTTATGTAATCATGTAAATTATGTAATTTCATTGCAGTAGACAGCAAAATAAATAACATGGTTTTGGGTGAAGATGAATTGCAGCAGAATGGAAACAGTTCTGCAAGTGAATATACTGCGGAATATAAAACAATGCCTTCTTACATCTCTACCTGTGATCTTTCTTTTAAGAAGTTAAAAGATGTAGCTGTCAAAAGGCAGCTGATATCCTATGCAGGAATTTAATCTTTCCCCTCTGGCCACACAGATTAGGGAGAGAGGTGACTTTCTCCTGTACCTATCCTCCTTGCATTGCATTGAGAAGTAGATGGTATTGTTAGCAATAACTTCAGCTTCAGTCTTGCCCTATTATGAGCAAAAATATCTGAAGAAAAGCCGATGATAACAGAACTACTTTTCTAGTTTTGTAGCTTAACAGGATCCTGAATTATCTCTGGTCAGATGAACAAAAGTTTTAGCAGATGATTATGAAAATGAAAGGCTTCAATATGGTAACTAGCTAGTTACTATTTTTCAATTTCTGCACAAAGCAAGCTATTTAAAATCCTCCTTTTGCAAGGACACAATGTAAAAGAGAAAAGAAAAAAGAGATTTTCATTCTGCTTGAGATAATCTGTCTAATATAATTTGGGGCACAATCCACCATAAAGTTCTCTTGTGCAAGCCCCAAAGAATTCACACCAGTGGGACATCTGCAGGAGAATCTTCTGGTAGATTGTATTGTTTTATCTATTCTAACAATGAAAATTAACATTTTCAAAGGTGCTCATCAGTGCAGGCTGCACATTCAATCAATTGGAAAACTACTGTTGACATCTTTGGGAGCAGAGTTAGCCAGTACTGACAGCTTTTGATAACCCAACTCTTAGCGATCAAAAAGCAGCAATATCACTCTTTGAAATGCTAGGGAACAGTACAAGTTTCAGTAAAAAGTGACTTCTTTTGTTATTTCCAACAGCACACCATGCAAAATGTTGGGTCATCTCGGGGTTTTCATTTCTTTGCATAATGTTTACAATCTGTGACCAACATTCTAGCTCATTCTCAGTGCACAGAATTCCAGGAGAACACGTAAGGTCTCCTGCTAGTTTAAGCAACTTTCGTTTCCGAAACTTGGCAAAGGCCTTTTCATGATCTTGAGCAGTATTCAAGGGTTTGGAAAGGAGATGGCAGAACAGTTTATTATCCATTAGCTCCATCAGTTACTGTGATAGCCTTTTCCAATTTTGGAGTATAGCTAATGTCAAGGAAAGTCCTTGGTGGCTAGATCCCCTAATATGTAGATGCTGTCAGAAACTTACAAGTTTGGGGATTTAAAACAAAGGGCTTAATGACCCCAAACATCCGAGGAACACCATGGCAAGCTCCAATAATATATTAATATCTGGTGAATTTAATATACTAAAATAAAATGTGACCACCTTTGCTTGCAACTAAAAAAGGCTAGAGCACTGTTAGTACTGAATTGTCTTAAATAACTAGGTTAACTTTCAATGAAATTTTGTAGGTGGAGAAAGGAATCTAATGGTCCAAAGCAGTTTTACTTAATTGGGATTCCTGAGAAACTTTAAGGGTTACCTGAAGTCTGTGAGCACTATATTAAAATCTGTGATTTCATAAGTTCCTATGAACATTGAATATGGTGGGGGAAATGTGACAATGAAGCAGAAATTGAACCACTTGTTTTCCTATGACGCTATAGTAAACATCGAAATGCTACAGATGCGAGTGACTGCGAATTTTACATCATAATCAGTGGAGAACAGAGTAGACACTGACTAAATATTTGATAAATTGATTCATTTGGCAAGTCTAATGTTCTTTTGACAGTAAGAAAGCTAACTGGCAACTATTCAGGGCAAAAAACGTAAGGCACAACTATTAGCCTTCTAAAAATCTTATCGGTGATAAACGATGCGTGAATGCTAACAGTTCTAGCAAATCTACATACATTGCAGTTTAAGTGGGGTCAAAATGAAGTTGCATTTCAAAGATTCATCAACAAGACTACACATTACTCATGTTACGGTAAGAATTACATAAAACGGTATTTGACATTAGCGTGGCAACTCTAAACACATTCACTGACAATGTGAGTCACTGAAAACCTGCATGTTTTGCCAGACATTTCTTAGTTTTCTCTCCTCCAGCCTCCCACCCCCTATGATTCAGAAACCATCCATGCAGGATTTTGTCACTCTCATAGAAACCCGTTATGGCTGTAATAGGAAGTTTCCATATGCATAGAGTTTTTCTTTTCATGAAGGAAGAATTGGAAGCTCCTGTATGCACTGGGCTATGGAACATGCACCTTCATCCACACGTGTACACAGAGACATAAATATACCCTCACCTAATCACTACTCTCTTGACTCAAGCAATCTAGAACCACCATCAGTGACAATTGAAAGGACAAACACAGACATCGGGAGGGGGAAGGAGGGAACAGCACAAACACAGGGAAAATAGGTCCTTCTATCTAAGCAGATAGGTCCTGGAAAAAGGACACTGCGATGGGATTCCACGCTAAATTGTTACTTGTATAGTGCCTAAAAGTGTACTACCCACTTTATAAATATGTGGAATACCACTTCCAAATGGTTTAACAAAACGTTCCATTCATTTGAAAGGCACCTTTGGACACTGATGTTACGGACCAAAGGTTTGCTTTTAAGAGAAGACTTTTCGGAAGACAACTTTTAAAAGTTGCCATTTGTGAGCATTGTGGTGCATCCCATAGCAGGCCAGTTTTTAGCCACTGGGTGGCAGGGACGTTGTTTTGGATGCATCTTTTTATAGGTTATGATTAAGCTTCAGAAATTGTGTGTGGCCCTTGATTCCTTTGCTTAGGCCTAGAAAGAGATTTCCAGATTTACACTGTTAAATTACTTTCTTTATATTATTATTTTTCAGCCGCTGATATCATTTTTGTTTTAAAAAAGAAAACATTAGAATTTGTTCAAGGAGCACATCGAATAATGATCCAAGTCCTAAACATCACTTTAAAACACTACCTCTGAAGGTTAAATTGGCATGAACCCCAGTAGGGCAGATCAATTGTAACACAGAAATATTAAAACAGTGGAAATTCTATGCCAATAAAAATCTACCTGTTCCGCTCGAGCTTTTTCCTTTTGAGAAAACTGAAGATGCAAAAATGATGACAGTGAGTAACACCTTTTAAAAGTTGTAAACTTCACATTGTATTTCAGCACTTCAAAAAAGATTAAAAACACACAGTACCATTTTTTCAGAATTTGGAAGACGGAGCCACAGTGCCTACTTGGTAAAGGACCCAATTTTGGGGTAAATTCAGACAAACCAATAACAGTTAATTCATATGGTGATAAATACATCAAGAGGCCTTTCCTCTTACTGATGGCTATTGCTTGGCTAGGTGAAAACAGCTCTCACCAAGGAAGACAAACATGTGGGAGAGGCTCCCATTTGAACCAGGCTCTTGTGTGGTAACTACATTGCTACATAACACACGGTCACATGAGTGACCACTGTTGGTCGTATGAGTTCCTGTGGTTTGGAAACGACCCATATTTCCCTTTGTTCATGCGCTTCACTGCTGTGAAATCATGGCATCTCTTTTCCAACAATTTGCATTTCATCCTGTACAATTATTTTAGCGAGTCCCTCAAACTTTAAGGCAACTGGATCATGGATTGACAGGACTTGATAAGTTCCAGACGAACAATGTTGCATTTGTTGACTTTGTGCTCGGCAAAATAAAAGTCAATGCCTACCTGGGAAGATACGTTCCTTTCTGGAAAGGGAAAAGGGGAAATGGTAAAAACTAGCAGGTGCCAAATACCAGCTGAAGCTTAAATATGGAGTCAAACTATTAGCTTGACTTGAGAATGCAGTAGCTGAACAAGAAGCTGCCATATACTGAGTCAAACTATGGGTCCAACTAGCTCAGTGTTGTCTACACCAAGATGGGGGCCCCTAAATACTTCCAAGGACCACCACATTCCCTTGTGGGTAATCTATAGGGGAGGGTGCATTTTGGCAGTGGGCAAAGCACCCTTCTCTTCTTTCCGGGCTCACTCACCCACATGAAATGTGCCCAAACGTCACAGGCTCCCCACCTGTGGTCCAGACCGATGGAAAACAGCTTCCTGGGGTTTCAGACATTTCTTAGACCTACCTGGAGATGTCAGGGGATGAACATGGGCCGCTCGGGATGCAGAGCATGTTCTCCGACACCGAGCTATGGCCCCACCCGCCCCAACCCAGGCCCATGCTGTGAAATTATGCAGCAAAGAAATGTGTTCCGAAGATATGTTCAAAGCAAGAGGGAGAAGATGGGCATGTAAGGCAAACCACAATGAAGGTTAGGAAAACGGAAGGTTTGTCGCTTCCTCTGTGATGTTTTGGTTTGCTATGCGATATGGAATCCTGAGTTGTCTTCCTTAAGTCTTTTGTCAGGAGCGTTATTTCTCCCCTCAAAAATAAAAATTAACAAAAATTACGCTTTATTCCCGCTGCTACTGGAAAACCTGTCCCCTGAAATGTTTAAACCATGGTTGAACGCAGAAGTCATTTTACACAAAGACACCACTTCGTGAAGAAGACCACCCTCTTCCAGGATTTCGTTTCCTGTTCTGGCTTCTCTCTCCCAAGGAACCTGAGAGGATGGATTCTGGCTCAAGTTTGGTGGTATCTCATCTGCTGAGGTACTGCTTAGTGTTTCGCTCCACTTAGTCTTTTTCACTTGAAAGACTCCTGGAGAACACAACTGCATAGTTTCTTGAGACGGGTTTGGAGATTCTGCATCAGTTTTGAAGAAGTTCACATCATCGGCACTAGGGATATGGGCGGGACTTCCTGTTTTTGGCACAAAGAGATTTTCACTGTATCCAATCGAAGGAACGCGTTTCCTTGGAGACGGGGGAGTTGCTTCCCAGTGAGGATGCTGTCATCTTGCCCAAGATTCCAGTCAGCTGGGTCAGACGTTCGACCACTGCAAAGCAGAGCCAGATTGCTCTCACTTGGCGTGTTGGATTTATTCTGAAATAAGAAGAACAGGCAACACATGAGGATTCTTGGCACTGGGGTCTCCGAAACAGCCACTTTGTTTTTACAGAAAAGTGGGGTGTAAATATTAAACTATTTATTTTTTTAAAAAACGACTGAACGACTGGTTCTTCATTGTACTGATGATGTGCTAAACTGAATCACATTTTTTTGCTAACGACCTCTTAATAGGATTCAAATTTTAATTCCTCTTCTCCTTCCAACATTAAGCAGCTAAACTGAAACCAAGATAATGCCATTTCAAGGTAAAAAGAAGTGTTTCTCAATGTGTTGTGCAGCCAAAGCACACTTTCTCTGCTTTAGATTTCAGGGGTACACATCACTTTTACACCACAGTCAGACATTGAGGAGAAATACCTGGTTACCACAGATGCATGAGGATGTATGAGAGACCCTAAAACACCCTGTCATCCAGGCAGCACCTATCACCAACAGAAGATTATGTGGATGCAAAGAAGTTTTAACACTGGAAACGCAAGGGGTGGGATAACTAACCGTTGCCTTGTAATCAATATCATCCATTGATCGAAAGAAGTCCAGGCTTTTTGCTCCTGAGAGCTTCCCTTGATCCGAACTGTGTGTACTCAGACTATCCAAAATCTCTCCTAGCAAGTCCATTTCTCCAGGAGGAACAGATGTTTTGGCCACTTCCCCAGAGTCATCACTGTCATACAAACAACAAGATGTTTCCTCACTATCTTCAGATGACAATCTAAAGGAAAACAGAAAACCACTTCATAGCTATGACCGCAACAATGAATCTGAAAATGAATGAGCTTTTTACAGGAGAATTATTATAAAGATCAATTTCAATAAAATAAGTGACCTCTGAACCCTTTGTATTCATCATAAGAAACCAAAAAGGATTCAGCATGGCATTATTTTAAACCATTTTATCTTGCAGCATATTCAGATATAATAAATAACTTTTTAGTGTCTATTTTAAATTTAATCTGTGTGCGTATGAATGGCTCTCCGTGTCCTTTGCTTCAAATGGCAGGCTAGGAAATGGTTTCTTGCTGCAGGCAAAAATAAAAAAATGTACACCTATAACGCATTGTGACAATGCCTTGATGCATATACTTTTTGTGTGTGAAAATCTAACTTTGCAAAAGGATAGACTCAGACTCACCTCTTTCAAAACTTTATATTTGCAAATAATGTTTTGGGAGAGTCTCAAAGCCTTGTGATCATACTTGTTTTGATATGCTTAATTGTTCAGAAGCCTACCTAGATTTCAACATGTTTTTTCTTTATGACAGACATTCTTCTAGAGCGAATCCCTAATGCATTTCATAGATCAAGGGATCATGGTTACAACTGCAATTAGGTCTTACAGCAGCCTTTCCTAAACTTCTGATAGGTTGACTCTGAGTCCTGGAAGATCTGCTCCCTGCCTTGAAGCCTTTTTCCACATGGCCTGGGAGAGCACAGCCCAGACTGACTCCAACAACAAAAGCTGAACACACTATTAAGCTAGGGTGTTGTTTCTGGGTTGTTGGTTTTTTGTGGGGGGTTTTTGTATCTTTATTTTAGATTTTGTTGTGATTGATGTGGGAATTGCTGTTTGGTTTTGTATTTTTTCCCCCATGTTTTATTTATAGTATGCTTTTGTTATGTTGTGGTTATGTATTTGTTTCATGTTGAACATGGTTTGAATAGTAGAAAGGCTTCACACAAATAAAATTACGTATGCATGTAAAGCTGGGGCACACTTCTTTGTAATTTTTGTACATTGCACTATTATAGATGAAAAGACCAGTTTTTAGTACAGTAAGTAAGAAGTACTGACTCTCAGAAGAGTCTGTATCATATACCATATTTTTTGCTCTATAAGACTCACTTTTTCCCTCCTAAAAAGTAAGGGGAAATGTGTGTGCATCTTATAGAGCGAATGCAGGCTGCGCAGCTATCCCAGAAAACACAACAGCAAGAGGGATTGCTGCTTTTGCTGCGCAGCGATCCCTCTTGCTGTTCTGGCTTCTGGGATTCAGAATATTTTTTCTCTTGTTTTCCTTCTCCAAAAACTAGGTGCATCTTATGGTCTGGTGCATCTTATAGAGCGAAAAATACGGTAAGTTGCTTTACAAGTTGCCGATCTGTCCTTGAAATTGTGAAGAGGCACATGCAAGCAGTGACTCATACAGAGAAACAATGGACAGTCTCCTCTAAGGGTGCACAACTCTGCTACATTTCTGCATCTACTCAGAAACAAGCTCCAATGAATTCATTGAACTTATTCCTAGTGCGTATAGGATTCTACCCTGAATAATCTAATTACAGTGTTACCTCGGGTTACATAGGCTTCAGGTTACATATGCTTCAGGTTACAGACTCCGCTAACCCAGAAATAGTGCTTCAGGTTAAGAACTTTGCTTCAGGATATGAACAAAAATCGTGCGTCGGCAGCGCAGCGGCAGTGGGAGGCTCCATCAGCTAAAGTGGTGCTTCAGGTTAAGAACAGTTTCAGGTTAAGAACTGACCTCCGAAACGAACTAAGTACGTAACCAGAGGTACCACTGTATGCTCGAATGCAGAGGCTACTTTGAATGAAACCAGCAGAGAGTATGAAACTGTGCGAAGGTGCAGTCAAAAGCCTCTCTTCTGGGTGGGGACTCAAAGGCACCAATCAATCCATTTTTGTAGCACATGACCAGTTCAGTCATGGTGGACTAGGGTGACTTAGAGCACAAGTTTGGAATTCCCTGTAATCCCCTTTCCACTGGTGGCTGATGCCCATTGGACACTGGAAAGGGTCCGGTGGGAGGCAGGGAGTCCAAGAGGAAGTGAAGCCAGAGTCAATGACATCCCACGGCTGGTGGCAAGGAAGAAGGCAGGCAGGTGGGGGCTGGCCGAGGCTGGTGGAGATATGTCCTGCTTGCCCGAATGGACCTGCCTCTACACATGCTTTTGAATGCTGCTTAATAATATCTTAATATCTTGAGTGCGTTTCTCCCCACACCACCAGGCTTATGTTCAGAGTTTAGCAGCAGCTCAGAACTCTCTCCACACAGCAAAATGGAACATTTATCCTGCATTTAAAGCTGTTCTGATAAAGAACTGAATGCAAGCTGGGCTTCTTAACAACTCATCTTACTTGCTTCCTCCATCCATCTCATCGTCCGCATCGTCGTCCAAGGCAGGATCATGGTTATATGTATTGGCATGGAGATGCCCAAACCGTGTCTGCAAAGGCAAAAGTTATACACTTCAGGGCTTCTTGCTGATTTTCACATAGGCTGCCGAGGGACAGAAGTATTCATAAGCAATACTGCCCAGTAATTTCAACTGAAGTGTCCACAGAATCAGTTATAGTCATATGTGAAGTATTCAAATGGATTCCTCGCTTATCCAAAGCAGTTCAGATGAAAAATTCAGGGTGAATTGACAGGCAATAGACAGAGCAAAGTTTGTTTCAGACCGGGGTTGAAATCACTAATGAAGCAGGGACTATTTTGTTCATATATATATAGTTCATATATATAGTTACCAGTAAACACTCACTCTCTCTCTCTCTCTCTCTCTCTCTCTCTCTCTCTCAATTCAAAATGATATTAAAACTGAAGCAGAAATGAAATCAAAGCTAAAAACAGATAAAAATGCACTAGCTATCCTCTAAAGTGCAGCAGAAATTTTTAGACTAGCACTGAAGACATGTACAAAATAAAAATTAATATATTACTATTGAAGAAGTCACCATCAGGAATATGAAGACATAGCTAACAGTAGATTTAAGCTTCTGGATATGGCAGCCATTATTATTATTATTATTATTATTATTATTATTATTATTATTCCTCACTTAACAAATGTAAAAGGTAAGTGGACCTCTTTAGGAAGTGTGCTACCATGGAGAAGAATTAGCAGGTTGAATAAAAAATAAGGGGATAGCCAGGACATATTACAGAATGGCAGGCTACAAGAGGAACATGACTCAAATGTCACAAGGCACATGGACATTTAAGTGCCAATAAACGTATATCTACTCTCATACACAATCGAAGTCTCTGCTGGGGTCTTAGCCAGCTCTACAGATTCCAATATTTATTAAGTAATTTCTGTATTGCCTCTTTATTTTTTTAAAAAATCCTACAGATGGGATGCAGCATGAATATGTGTTATTTCCTTCTGTTCATTCTTGCCCCGTACTCCTGAGCTTACTTAATATAAAGATAAGATGGTAGTATTCTTCTTTTAAAGAAAACATGGATAGGTTTTGTTTTTTTGTTTTTTTACAGCAGAATAAAACCTCATGGGATTACTGTGAAGGTCCACAGAATAGCTTCTGAAAACAATGAATATTCAGTTTGTAAATATGGCAGGGTTAAAAGAAAAGGAACAGGAAAGAAAAGGATGCCTTTGGGGAATGAAAAATGAATTCTCCAATTAAAATTGGCAAAATTCCACTGGTACTGTTACGCTCATCTTCATTTCCTCAAAAAGGTCCACAGAAAACTGTGGTTCTGCCAACATTTTGTATTAAGATGGGGCAGATCATATTCCAATGGGAAAATAAAAATTAATAGGTACTTTCTCAATTCTAATTGTAGAAGGGTGGGGCCACCTTTCTGTTTTCCCTTATACCTAGACATATGCTATAAAGATGCTGACATTTAGTTGTGTGTGTTTTTATTTAAAGAGATAGCTATATACAGAACAATCCTTGCATAAAATTAGTGGAGAAATGTCACTGTCTCCAAACCTTTTAAAGGTTTAATATTATCACCTGTCACTTAAAAGCTCTTTTAATGAGAAAACTTGTTTTACAATCTTTATCCTGCTAATTTTTGAAACAGTCCTATGAGAAAGGTCACCACTGTTCCCCCTTTAAATACAGAAAACGGGAGATGGCGGTGCCTTCTCCACGACCACCCAGGGCTTATCATTTCTTATTTTCTTTCTTTCTATACCATTTTTTAAATAAAACATTTAAATATAATAAACATAGTGAGGCTATTTACATAAAAACACAATATTGAATAAAATTTCCTAAAAACTAGAGATAAAACAACAACAGTAAGTCACAAGTAAAACAAGCGTTATATAAAATAATAAAATAAAAATTCAGAGAATGCTTGGGTAAACATATGCATTTTAAAGAGGCATTTAAAGCTAATAGTGTCTCAGCCTTGTGAATTACCTGAGGAAGGCCAATGCAGAGGGTGCTATCACCCAGAAGGCCTGCTTCCACCTTGTCACAAAGTGACCATCTGCTAGTCATGGAAGATCTTAAAGATCAACCTCATCAGTACCAGGGGAGCTGGCATGCTACATAACCTGGGCCCATGTTCTCCAGGGCTTTGAATGTCAACAACAAAACCATGAACTTGGCTCATTAGCTAGTAGGCAGCCAGCTGCAGCTTCCAAAAAAGGGTCAAGAGAGCCCTACATAAAGCAAATTACACAGTAGTCCAATCATGAAATTACCAGTATACGGACTATTGCGGTAAGGCTCCCCTTGTCTGGAAATGATAAAGGTAAAGGACCCCTGGATGGTTTAAGTCCAGTTGAAGGCGACTATGGGGTTGTGGCGCTCATCTCGCTTTCAGGCCGAGGGAGCCAGTATTTATCCACAGACAGCTTTCCGGGTCACGCAGCCAGCATGACTAAACCACATCTGGCACAATGGGACACCGTGACAGAAACCAGAATGCATGGAAACGCCGTTTACCTTCCCGCCACAGAGGTACCTATTTATCTACTTGCACTTGCGTGCTTTCAAACTGCTAGTTTGTCAGGAGCAGGGACAGAGCGACGGGAGCTCACTCCATTGCGGGGATTCAAACCTCCAACCTTCTGATTGGCAGGCCCAAGAGGCTCAGTGATTTAGACCACAGCGCCACCAGCATCCCTACGGTAATAGCTGGTGCACCAACTAAGTTTGGTAAAGGATGCTCTGAGTCATACAGATAGGGATTGGGAGTGAAACTGATAAGAGGCTTTTTACATTTCACTATGAGACTAGTTCTTTTATGTTCTAGTCCAGCTCTCATTTGCAGACTTGAGCACTTGTTTACTGGAATTTTCCTGAGTTTCCAGTACTCTTTCAAGATGGAGCTAAAAGTTAGGAGCAACCTTTCTGTTCTCTTCCAAAGCACTCCTAGCCCCTGTGACTACAGGCAGAGCATGGTCAGTGTTGTGACCGGACTGTTACCAGTCACATAAGCCGGGGAGGGAAAATCTTTGGCTCAGGTGGTCAGGGATTTCCTTTGAGGTCAGTCCAGCAAGCTCAGGGGTATCACAGTTCTATCGCTTTCAAGGTTTGGGAACCTCCTCGAGTTGTGCCTTGTTAGGGGTAGGTGAGTAACTACACAGTTCCCTGGACCCTTAAAATCCCCCTTTAGGCTTATTTATTTTGCACACTTTCTTCTACAGTCCAGAATTCAGGTGAAAAATAGGCAAACTTTCAAGGGGGCAGTCAAAGGCACACAGAAAACCTGAGGTGCTTTTTAACAACAATAAAAGCAAAATGAAACCAAGTAAACTCTGTTGGATCCGCTCTGTTTTCAGTGCCCCGAGTTCACGGGTTGAAGTGTGTAGATGGGGGAGGAGAGAACATTTCTGTCACTCATCGTCCGTGAAGTAACGTACAGTACTCAATAGGTATCTGTGGCAAATAACTTGCAAAACAACCTGCTTATAAAATGGCAAGAAACGCCAGTGTAAAGAAAAGGGGGGAGGGGGAGAGAGGAAAGAAACCCTTAATAAATCCCAAAAGGAGAGCAGTAAATCCTTTTCAAAGCTCTACTAGATGAAGCAGCATAGAATGCACACCTGCAAAAACTGTCAAAGTCATTTAGGATAACTTTCCTTTACTGATGTCCCCCTGCTGTTCACAGTTACTTAAGATTTTAATTTCTGTCTTTTCTGCATTTTCAACTGTGCACAATTTTCTCTGGCTTTTTTAGGGGGGTGGGGAATGGGGGGGGGTTGAGAGTGGGGGACTTCTTTTCTGATCAGTATTCTAATAACCACCAGACCTCTTCCATTTGCTAAAACAGAAGGGGGGGGACAGAACTGGTTTCAAGTTCTAGGGAAGTTTATAAAGGTTTGATCTGGATAGCACTTGCACAAAGTTAGAAACCAACTTACATTTTTTGTGTGATTTCTGTTTACAGAAATACCTTTCTTCCCCTTTGTAAAACGAATGCTGTGTCAGTGCAATTTCTTATCTTTGTGCTGAAAAACAGCCATGTTCTTGCTTGTTCCATTTAACCAGGATGAGGTTTTTGTCCATCCCTATGAAATGCCTTTCATAGAAACCTTATTAAAACTTTAGGACTATTTTTATGTTACATTAGAACACCAAAGGCAAGCAGATAGGTGTCTTATATGACTGTCCTATGACTATGAAGCTCTTTCCCTGCCAGAAGACAGCAGAAGTATGAGAAAAACTGTAAAAACTAAACTAAACTAAACTGGGGTTAAATTTTAATTAAACTGAGGATTTTCTTGTGAGTTTTATTTTCAACTGTTGTTACCCTTGAAGAGAGAGGGGATATGAACTGCCCTCAGTAATAAAATAATGTGCATTGTGCAAAGGTGTCTTTTCCCATACTGTGGAGACCCAGAGCGAATCGCAAATTCTTGTGGTGTGTTTCAAAATAGTGGGCACACTGCCAAAAAAGAAGGCCAAGACCATGAACGCCATGATACAAGAAACACCCACGGTTGCATTTGGTATTCAAGCATGAATCTATTACTGTAATATAACAAGGGAAGGACAAGGGCTGCAGAATCCACTAGGTGTTGCTGGTGATATCTGTAGAATAAAACAGTGTGTTTACTAATATCTTACTGGTACGTTCACACTGAACAACTAGCAATTTTCCTTTGGAGCTGTATGGAAAAGTGTCCTGGAAGGGAACTAAATTTGAAGAAAAGAAAAGAAAAAATAGGCCAAAATGAAGAGATATACTTCACAAGTTCATTTGTGAGATGTTACCAAAATTAAAACTAGTAGCAGAATGGCAGATATGATAAATGGCCATGTTGTATGGCACCATACAGAAAAATCATGGATGCAAACTATCTCTGAACATTGTCAATTTAAAAATAATAATCAAGAGATGCAGAACAGATGAAATGCCACCTTTTATTGGACCTGTTAAGTATTATTATTATTATTATTATTATTATTATTATTATTATTTCAATAATGAATTCTATGGAACTGATTCTATGTA